CTAAATATTTCACAGGGAAGAAAGCACTTTACTGTTAAATATACCTTCCTCCACTGTATATCTTCCTGGAATGCCACTATCATTAACTTTTAGTTTTTCTTCCTCCATTCAAACTGTAACATCCTTCAGAGTCGAAGACATGGTCATTCATGTAAAGTCAGTACCTAACTAAAACAAGCACAAAACAAAACAAGCACATGAGCATTGCTGATTTGTGTTTTTAGTCATTCTTGTACCTTTTCTAAATTAATGTTAATAGTGCCAAAATTGATTAGCTTCAAATTATGTTTTTTATCAGTAAAAATCCTGTTTACATCTTAAGAATCAGATATAGGCACGGTTAATTTACCTTTGCCTGTAAATACTGCCATGATTTTTTTGTGTGCAGGTAAGCATATATTTAGTACACTTATATGTACGTGGAATAGTCAGAGTAAGAAATAATAATATCCTTTTATTTTTTTTCTAGTACTCAAATCACCTGAAGTCAGTTAGTTATTGGTAAATGATGTCTGAATTTTTTGTTTCTAATCAGCCCAGTGAAACAGGAATCAATGAATTTGTCACTTTCTATTTCTTCTAGCTTGGTTGCTTTTGTGCTCCATTGTTCCACTGCTGCATAGTGTTAATGCAATTGACTGGTAGTGCCTACAAAATAAACTCTCTCCTCCTTTTGATAGACTGTGGTTTGAAGAGCTAAACTATAAATCTTTTTGATCTAAACAGTTTAAATTACCTTGATAAAAAAAAAGTATGTCCCTTTAATTGATTACCTTTCTTAGTCATCTTTATAGGAACATGCCATTCTTTTTCTTTACTAGCCTCTCTGTTTCTTTAAACTACCTTCCAAATTTTCCAAAGAAGTATAAAAACTCCACAGTATGTGAAAGCTTTGCAATTTCCACTGGGTTCAATTCCAATTAACTCAAATATCAGGATCAGTCCTAAGGGCTGCATGATATGTCTATGTTAGAACAAACTAACAAGTGAAACAAAAACATCAACAGCTCAGAACCTGGAGAATGACAAAAAGAGGCACTTTTCCTGAAATGCTTATAATCTGAATATGCGCTTTACTGACCACTTTTTGATTAATTTCCAACAGAGATGCCTACCCAGGCATGAGTATTTTCCTACTACAGCCTGCTCAAAAAAGACTTATGTGTTTTGAAACAATAACACAACTAATACTTATAACTGCTGCTTTTTAGTTGCTTTCTAGAAAAGTACTTTTTGACTTAACAGGTGTCCAGCCATCTGTTAAAAGGATTTCTTCAGAAAAGTAGTTAGTGGATACTGTGTATGTCATCTCTTCCATATTCTTATTTGAAAGCTAACAGCGAGTCTTAGCAGGCTTTCATTCACTCTCAAGCACCATTACTGCTGAATACATTAAATAATACTTCCCTTTTTAGTGCATTTTCAATCTGATTTTAATGTGTGATATGCACTTGAACTGAAGATATTTTTTTCAAAAAAAATCATTCAAAACTTCAAAATTATAAATTGCTAATACTGCTTCATCAATACTGTTTTGAAGCAACCAAGACATAAAATGCTAGAAATTTCAGGGCATAAAAATGCTAGAAATTTCCATTATGAGGACTGGTTTAGCTTCAAGTAGTTTTCTCTAGTAAAGCAGAATAATCACAGTGCTTAGAAGATTTTAACATGATGTGATAATGTGGGGGGTTTCCAGATAGTTATAATTAACCCCAACCAGTGCAAATCTCCTGAGGCAGCTCTATATCATGGTAGGTCTCTCAGATTTAGCACTGTTCAACCAGGGTACCAGCCTGGGTATTCTGGTTCCCTCGGAAGGCCAGTGCCCATCAAGGATGTCTCAGTAATAATATTAGGCTTCCCTCCTTAATGGTTGGCCCAAGGATGTTCCCAGAATGGAAATTCATATTCTTGAAAAGCCTCTATTTTCCCCTTAACAATTCTGGTCAATTGAGTATTAACTTACTGTTAGACAAGAAACTGGTAAATAGCCAATTGTACTGACCTAGGATCAGAAAGGAAAATTACATTTAAGAGTCTATAATGTACCAAAAAACAAGTTAAGCACTTTATATATTTAGTCCTCCTGAGAATACTAAAAGGAAGTTATCATTGTTTTCATTGTTCATATGAGAAAATTCTTAATAATCATAGAGACAATAGCCTAAATATGACAGTTGCTTTCTTTGTATATTGCTTCATTTCCTAGTTTTTTCATTTTTTAACATTCTAAACAATCAGATCCTTCAAATCCTTCAACTGTTCATTTCATTCATGTATTTACAACCATTTACTGGTTTTCCTAAGAGAATGAAGACCAAATCCCTTAACATAGTCCTAAGGCTCTCTATACTATCTCTCCAGTCTTTCTGTTGACCACATGTGTTTCTTCTCTCTAATGTTCCAGCTAAAGCCTTCTGCTTCCAGTTCCCCCAAAGTGCTGGATCTTCCTGCCCCAGGGAGCATACACTGTTGTCGCTATCCTAAAAGATCTCTCTAATCCTCTCCACTCCCAATTCACCAAGCTAATTTCTATTATTCTTTAATTCTTAGAATAAATTTCACTGTAGATTGCATGGTAAAATACTTACCCTGCTTTATGACCTCATAGCACCTCTATTTAGTTGCCAGAGAATATAGTTCAATTACAATTAATTAACTTTTACTTAATTACCTACTTTTCCTAGCACCTATAATTGCAAGATCCAAAAGGGCAAGAGCTATGTCTGTTTATTTACTGTGGTATCCAAATATAATGGCCTAGAACAGTGTTTGACACATAGTAGGTACTCAGTGAATATTTGTTGAATTAATAAATGAACCACTCACTGCTCTGCAGCATTAGCTTCCTTATTTAAAAATCCTTAGGTGAGTTTACTCTGAGTTGACATTTACAAAGATTTTTTTTCCAATTTTTTTCCTTACCTTAAAAGTGCTTAGCCACCTTTCTGTGAAAAATAGGAATTCACAAAGTTGTAACATGTTAAAAAATAAAGTAAAATAAAACACTGTTGTTTTCATTCATTAGGCTTTACATATGTATTATTTTTGAGACAAGGGTTCACTCTATCACCCAGGCTAGAATGCAGTGGCATCATCATAGTTCAAACTCCTGGACTCAAACAATTCTCCTACCTCGGCTTCCCAAGTAGCTGGGACTACAGGCACAAGTGCCAACATACCAGGATAATTTTTTCTTTTAAATTTGTTTGTAGAGATGGGTGTTTGCTATGTTGCTCAGGCCAGTTTATCCATCCTCCTACCTTGGTCTCCCAAAGTGCTGGGATTACAGGAGTGAGCCACTGCACCTGGCTCTCATGTAATTTATTGAATACTGTACTGGAAATGAAAAAACAGAATGGTTGTAAGGGTACTCAAAATATGATTTCTACTGAATGTATATCTCTTTCATACCATCGTAAAATTGAAAAATTGTTAAGTCAAACCATCATAAGTTGGGAACCATCTATATTAAACTTTGGTATTTCATTTCTGAAATAGCACCACCTTCTTCTTCTACTACTTTCTGAATGATTACCACTAATCTCCCTAGTAAAAGTAGATATCCAGGAAGATTTTCTCCTCCTTCTTCCAATGGTGATATATATGTGTGTGTGTGTGCGTGTATACACACACATATATTTTAAGTTTACAAGATAATTGTTCCTGTCTGAAACTTTCTTTCAGGATTTAATTTTCTAGAGGATATAAATTATTTTAGGTTATTGTTAATTACATTATAGTCTTGTCAATAAACATAATGATAGCAGGCTTCTAAGAATCTTTAACTCCTATCCAAAACTTGTTATGTGTTGTATGTTGGTTTGCTCATCCAAAAGTTACAACTAGAATATTTTTGTTTTTGTAATTGATGCTATTTGCATAGATAAATAGTTATTGCTAGTAAGTTCTTAATAATTTCTTACAAAAGAGTGATATTATCTCACTTTGGAGAAAGGAAAACTAAGAGTCATGATGAACACATTTTGATTTGGAATTCACTTCTGCTGGAGAATTAGAGGTGCTCAGTTGGTACAAAGTAACTGAGGTTTTAGCATTGTTGAAATTTGCCATTTGATATTGGAATACATTCTTAAATAAATGTGGTTATGTTATACATCACTTTAATGCACATTTCTCACTTCGTTTTTTTGCTAATAACTTATTATTTGCTATTTATTTTAGACTATGGAAATGATGCTAGACAAAAAGCAAATTTGAGCACTTTTCTTATTCCAGTTCAAAATAGGCCGTAAAGCAGCAGAAACAACTCGTAGCATCAACAACCCATTTGACTCAGGAACTACTAATGAATGTACAATGCAGTGGTGGTTCAAGAAATTTTACAAAGGAGATGAGAGCCTTGAAGATGAGGGGTGCAGTGGCCATCCATAAGAAGTTGGCAATGACCAAGTGAGAGCAATAATCGAAGCTGATCCTTTTACAACTGTATGAGAAGTTGCCGAAGAATTCAACGTAGACCATTCTATGGTCAGCATTTGAAGTAAATTGGAAAGGTGAACAAGCTTGATAAGTGGCTGCCTCGTGAGCTGATCGAAAAACATTGTCATTTTGAAGTGCCATCATCTCTTATTGTATGCAAAAACAAACCATTTCTTGATCAGATTGTGACATGTGATAAAAAGTGGATTTTATATGACAACCAGTGATGACCAGCTCAGTGGTTAGACTGAGAAGAAGTTCCAAAACACTTCCCAATGCCAGAATTGCACCAAAAAATGGTCATGGTCATTGTTTGGTGGTCTGCTCCTGGTCTGATCCACTACAGCTTTCTGAATTCCAGCAAAACCATTACATCTGAGAAGTATGCTTAGCAAATCGATGAGATGCACTGAAAACTGCAATGCCTCCAGCCAGCATTGGTCAACAGAAAGTGCCCAATTCTCCACAACAATGCCGACTGCATGTCGCACAACCAACATTTCAAAAGTTGAATGAATTGGGCTACGGAGTTTTGCCTCCTCCGCCATATTCACCTGATCTCTCACCCTTCTCCTCTGTAGTCAGTCTCTTTCTGTAGCCAGTCTAATTTACCCCTCAGGGATGAATTCCTGGAAGCTGAAACATGCTGCTCTGGAAAAAATAGGATGGGAAGATGAATGATAATATTATTTAGAAGTCTCTGCAAAAATGATAAAGATGATAATGGTAAAATCTAGGATATTGCTGCAATCTCAAGGTAATGGAAAGTGAAAAACTCCACTATAATTTTTAAATGAAAGGCTCCCCAGGAATTCCCATGACCTTCTCAATGTCATTCTAGCTTCTTAATGTGGTCTATTTATATATTTTTATTAATCAGATAAATTAGCTTTAATCTCTACCATTCTGCAAAGGAAATTTAGTTATTTCTATTACTGTTTTATTTAAAAGAAAATATTAAAAAAAACTAAGATATATAGGAAAAGGTACCAAATGATAAAGTTCTATTATAAAAATTAACTGTGCTATAAAGGAAATTGCTGTTAACAGAATAGTAACATACTCTTCAAACCTAAGATTTAGTAATCCAGACAAGTATACTGCAGACTAGAGATCAGGGCACAGCTATTACAACATATAAAACTAAGTTTTATTATATAAATCTATACTTAATATACTTTACCATAATATACAGTCAAATTATTCTAATATAAATTTATAGCATTAAAAAGTTATCAAAATGAGTTAGCATGCATTCAGAAAAGATCTAAGTTCAGTATAAAGCTGATGAATTCTGCAACTTTAAATTGCCTGAATTTATTACTAAAACACTTGAAATCTTTGTAATTCTGCTCTCATCCTTCTAGATCCCCTAAGAGCTGTCAGGTGCATCCTTGGAAACATCATTGCTTTTGTTTTCATCAGTTCACATATTCGTGGCATTTCCCCATTGCTTGTCAAAATAATTAATATCTGGAGTGGAAGAAATAAGTATACTGCATTTTAATATAAATTTTTAGGGAAACATGGTTAAAAATAGTCTATTAAAAGTGAGCTTTCTATCTTTGACCTTTTGTTATATTGCAAAAACATTTCTGATCAGCTTAAAGAATTATGGACACAGCTGTCATTACTGTATTGTTAATGAAGAGTTTACATAATAAAAAACTAGCCAAAGTTTTTTAAAAGTTTGGATATTTATCAATTTAAGGTCTACCTCATAGTCAATGAGAATAAATATAACCCATCCATTCTATGGAATAATAATGAAAGCTTATGATAACTGGAAGTGCCTATCACTTCGAACATATAATTCTTGCTTATCAATAAACATACATAAGCCAATTGTATATTCTTACCAGCTATAAGTAGGCCATCACCAACTTCACTCGGTGACCATGGAATCAAAATCTATGACATTTTAGCAGATCAGATTTTTTCACAATTCATTATAAAACACAATGGTTTACCTTTCTAAGAAATGACAGCTATATGATTTTGCATCCTCCCCTACAGATACTGAGAACATTGAGAATTACATCATCCTCCATATAACACATCTGAAGTTTTTAGGCCCTATTGCTACTCTGATTTTAGTCTGTGATTAGGAACTTTTTTTTTGTCTGTTTTGTATGAAGTCACTCTCAAGAATTATGTCAACATAGAGTACATATGGCAAATGGGCAAATGGAATATACAATTCCATGAACCAGGCATCAAAAGTACTAACAAAATCATAAATATTTGGGAAAAAAGAGAATTCTTCCTCTTAGTAAATTACATTTTTTAAAAACATTTTTAAAGAAACATTGAAAGTAATTAAGTCTAAATAATGAAAAGGGTTGCAAATATCATACAAATTCTTAGAGTATTTTCTAACATACTTTCCTCTATGTGAAGACCCAATGACATAGAGTAAAAAGGTATCTGACACCTTGAAAAAGCCTCTTAATTATATACAATTTATAAGACTTTTGCTGCAGAATTTCAGATAACCAAAAAGAATATATTTTTTAAAAAATCTTGATTTCCTGAATCCTTAAAAATAATGCATGTGCTATTTTTTAAGAGAGAAATAATTATTAGAGTACAATAATAATGTATATAACAATGCCCAGGAGAGTGGCACAAAACAGATACAGGAAAATTAACATTCTCACAAACGAATGTAAATAAAATTTTGTAAAACACATGCATAGAGACTTTTCACACATAGTAAATCTTCTCTTCAAATAGCAATTTTCATACCCTGAAATTTTACCTTATTTTTACCTATTACTTATCTTTAAAATCCTAAATTAATATTATAAATGGCAATGAAGTCAAAGAAGAAAATATATGTTTTCATGAAAATTCAGGGTCAATCAATGTAGAATTTGATTCAGTTCTCTTTTTGAAGTACAGTCAGCCATATTTTTGTTGGTTCCTCATCCCTGGATCAAACCAACCACAGATTGAAATATCCCCCCCTCCCAAAAAAAACAATTAAAAAAACCAAATTTTAAAAATATAGCATAACAATTGCTTGCATAGCATTTACATTGAATTAGTTATTATAAATAATCTAAAGATAATTTAAAATATGCAGGAAAATGTGCTTAGGTTGACTGCAAATAGTATACCATGTTATAACAGGGACTTTAGCATCTTAGTGTCGGTGGATTTGGTTTCCTTGGGGGCCCTGGTACCAATCCCCTGTAGATACCGAGGGACATATATAATCTGTCTGTATATAATTTCATTTAGCTTCATAACATCCTATGTAACAAGCCTCCCTCCAGTTGCCTGCTAATGTCTAAAATGCCTTAAACAGAAGACAAATTGTTGACTCCACAATTATACATTAGGCCTGAAATAAATAAATGTAACTTAAAAAGAGTAGCAATTTAACTTCAACTCACCTCAAAGTTAAAGGGAATGATCTGTGAGCTTCTCTGGAAGCCAGTTTTGATAGGTGTGGAAGGAGAAGAGAATACTGAAGAGGGCTACCAGGTGAAGAAAGAAGGAAGGTGAGGAGCTGATTGGGTAAATGAGTTAAGGAAGAACAGACATTGCCTTCTATCAGCAGAGCCTCGTTTTCAAACACTTCTTTTCCTATGGGAGTGACAGCTGTGTGCATATTTTTAGGACTGTGAAGGTCAAGAGGCACCAAGCTAGATTACCTCCTCATATGTTCATTTTTAGGTTTTCTCAATAAAAGATTTGGTCTAGGAGTGGGATTTAAAAGACCAAGAGAAAGAAAACTATTGCAATTTCCCTCATAGTTTTTGTCTAGCCCTGGAATTGTAGAAAGGATCCCCCAGCCTCTTGTTTTACAAAGAAGCCTTACTACTATTGTAACATGTTGGTATCTAGTCCTATGTATATAAGTCACAAAAACCTGAATTCATGGATATTTTCCAGAGCTATAATATACATTTTTCAAATTTAAAAGCCAATTTCTTTTTTTAATTCATTCCAGTTAAAATAAGAGCATTTTCCAGTTAAAATAAGACCAAAAAATATTACAACTATTCCTGGGATTTATAAGACATGGTCACTTATTTCCATTCTGAATTCTCTTGCCCTTCTAGCCTTCTTGCAGTTTGCTGAAGGTCAGGCTACATGAATATTTGCTTCTATTGATTAGAATCGAATAAACAGCAGGTGGTAAAGTTGAGTAAAGTTCAGAAGATTGCACAGTAGACACAAGAAGACAGAGATGCAAGGCACAATGGATTTACAGAACAGCATGGGCCTGTGTAATTTAGCATGACCTTTCTGGTCTTCTATGCGGGAGTGTACTATTCATTGACAATTAGGGGAATTTAGTATGAACTGTGTGAGGTTTACTGAGTCTGAAGTTTTATATTGAATTCCTTGGCCTGATTGCATAGCAGCTACAAAGTTTGCTATTGGGAGATATTTGGACTTTTATTTGTAGAAAAAAGATTTGTATCCTAATTTCTGTTATGTTCCTCCCCCCTCCCCTTTTTTTCTGGTCTTTTTCTTTTCCCCAATTTCAACAGTTCTACCATGAGAAGAGCCCACTTAAGAAATAAATTTCTGAAGATTAAAACTACTTCAAGGGCATCTTAGTATTAAACATTTATAAAGAGAACTCTTCTCTTTTGGTCCAAGAAAGATAGTAGCTGAAAATAACTAAATCTCAAAGGCAAAAACAAGCAAAAAAATAAACCTCAACACCCCAAAACCAAGAGAAGAATATGTACACGTTCAAATTTTTTTTCAAGGAAAGTGAATAAGTGAATTCATATACTTAGTTAATTTATCCTTATAGTATAAAATACTTTAACATGGATCAATATTTACCTTATCAATGATAAGTAAATGTTGATTTCTTATTAGAATTCTCTTTAATAAAAATTCTCTCTTTGTAACTGAGTATTTGCCAAATGCCATTAATCTTACTTTAGTTTTTTCCTGTGTATATTCTCCAGCTCTTTGGTATTATTAACTCTTTGACTTATAAATTGATAGAGGTTTTACCATTTGTGCTTAGGGGGTGCCCTAGCATTAATTATAATGCATTTTTCTAAAATATATTTTTTTATTTTGAAAATACATCAGGACTTCTTAAATAATAATTTATTCCTTCTTAAAATGTAAAAGAGTAGGTAGATGGGAATAATAGTGAAGAAGACAATTGACTGAGTTTACCACAAATGTTTCTCTTTTCTATTGTGCAGGTAGAAAAAGTGCAAGGCAACAATGCTGAACCATTCAGAGAAATACTGTGTTCAATGTGTTTAAGATGCTTTGAAAAGAAGGAAATAATTTTTTTCTTTTATTGATGCTTTGGGAGTTGAGCCCAAAAGCACTATGGTTGTGACCTGAATTTCATTGGAAATTGAATTCCGCACACCAAATTAATCTTTAAAAGTGTTCAAATGGTATAATTTATTGACAGTGTGAAGGTACCATATGCAAGATAATTAGACAGCATTTTCCACCAAGAAATTAAATGAAAACTTGATTATGGGTCAGATTCTATTGATGCTAATTGATCTTTATTTAAATAGTTGAAAACTTTCTATATTCTCTTTTTTTAGCAGCACTCTATCATCAAATCTATTTTTATTTCTAATATTAAAGAAAACGTAGATGCATCTATCTTATAGCTTTTGTTTTGTTTTTATTTAATCTTGGTG